AACCGAACGTCGGCACCTGCCAATCTCTATCTCCCTCTCTCTCCCTCTCCCTCTCTCTCTCTCTCTGTGTCTCGCTCTCTCTCTCGTCGAACCGAGCATAACGATCTCTCGTCGAACCGACTGTCTCGCTCTCTCTCTCTTTGAACCGACCGCACCGAGCGCAGCACCCCAATGCGCAGGCCGAACCGAAACATGATGAAGCAGCACCGCCGTTGGGATTGCCGTGCGGACCCGGGTTGGACGGCCAGATAGAAGTTTCGGGAAAAAACTTCTATCTGGCCGTCCTACCCGGGCCCGCTCGGCAATCGCAACGGCCGTCACCGATTCGACCTGCCCCAACGATCCGACACGGTATCCGTCGGGCCCGCCTGCCAGTCCCACAGCGTTTCCCAACACTGGCGAGCGGGCTCTCGCAGGAGCGTTACCCGAGACCCGCTATTCGCTTAAAGATGTTAAGGAAAAAAAAAAAAGAAAAAAAAAAGAAAAGACATGCCCTTCTGATCTGGTTGTTTTATGGCACACAGTGGCATCAAGTCTTGTTCCTAGTGAGTCGCACGACAATAAGTAGGGATCCATGGCAGCACTGCAAGGAACCACAATCAAAACCAGAATTGCAAAAGTCTTTCGGCTGTAGGCCCATAGCTCTTGGCTGAGTCAACGTTTTAGGGTGAAAGCCTGTCGAACCCATGACAATTCCCTTCATCCCAGTGGACTATGCATGTGTGATATGCTTACACTGTTCGGGTTCTTCAGACGTTGTGCCTCGTCGATTATCACGTAGCGCCATTGGAATCGTGAGAGGAATTCAGCGTCCACCATCGCCAGTTCATAAGTTGTTAGCAAGACGTGAAAAGGAAGACAAGGATCCTTCTGTGGATGACAGGAAACAGAACCAGCAAATGACAAAATGTAGGAATAAGGGGGGTGGTTTGGAAACAACCATCTAGAATCGTTGAACAACAAGTCTGATGTTGAGACCATTTGATGATATCAGGATATTTGAGGAAGACAGATAGAAATGGAAGGAAAATGAGCGATAGCGAACTTCAGAAACCAACCAGCATCATACACATGAGACCAGATAGTCGTGACCTCGAACCAAGAGCAGAATTGCAACACGAGTTCCACCAAATAAGAGCACAGCAAAAGCTCATAAGTGACAATGTTGGAATATTCTCATCACCATCAACAAAGAACCAGTGTCGACATCCTATCTGGTGCTCTGCGCCCAGACTACAAATGGCAGATCCTATCTAGCCTATCTACAATGCCACTGGTATCAGCAGGGAAGTCATGTGTTGATACATGCGCTGCGCCCCTCAACGACTACACACTATTCGAAAAAAAATATAATATTATCTTCATCTTTGGAATCTCAATCTAAGGAATAAAAAAAAAGTTCAAGAATAAAATCATCCTAAAGTTTCTTCACATACCTTAGGAATTACAAACATTCCTTGCCGCCACATAGGATCTAAAATAGGATCAGACGGATCAAAAACTGCAAGTTCATATAAATTGAACCTGCCCACCCTGACACAAGAGCAGTATGCATAATATGGACAGCTATTAAATGACCAGGATCATTTAATACAACTGTATGTACACAATACCAAGGTAGACCCATGAAATGACACCTTTTGTGACGTCAACAGCTCCCCGAAGTACGGGCAGATCTCGGCCAATGCCGTTCGCCTCAAGCACCAGGTATGTCTCTCGTATCACTCACAACCTCGATCCCCCACTCACAGATGTCACTTGCACCCAAGGACCACCATGCACCCCATCCAGCTCAGTGCAGCGCAGCTCGGCTATGGCTGCCTGCTCTCCCTGCTCGCCCGTGAGCGCGTGGGCCTGGCCAGCGTTTGCACAGCATGCAGCCAGTGCCCGAATGCCGAATCTGGAGGCAGGCCCTTTCCTAAATGGAAGTGGCCTGCCTGCTGCGTGCGGCAAAGCTGCACTGGGCCCCGGCCCAGAAGCTTCTGGTAGGCCCCGAGAGGCTGAGTCTCAGACCAAACGAATCAGGCCCAGGGCCTGTGGTGGTTACCTGTGCCCAACTGCCCGCAGCCTGTGTTCGGTCCATGTTGCGTATCTGGCCTAGGGCCTGCCTCAGTTACATACGATAGAGGCAGCCTGGGCCAGGGCGCTTTCAACCAACTGGCGCTGCACAACTGCCTGAATTTTCCCCAGTTGCGTAGTAGTCCAAAATAGGCCTAGGTCGGGCCTGCCTTCACTTAGGGCGGGCGACCTTGCTGATAACAGGGCCCAGTAGGGCTTACCGAGGCCTTGTGCCTCACAGAAAGATCAAAACAGAAGATAAGTGGATAGACCGAGCTGTAAATGCAACAAGCAAGGTCACGAGAAGGAACACAAAATAAAAATAGGAAGACTTTTTTAGCCTTGCCTTTCATTTTCCCTTGAAGAACAACATTAACATGTGCTGTTAAGAGCACGACCTTAAGGTTCTTCTTTTCATGGAAAACAAAACACAGCCCTGACCCTGCTGTTATTCTCGGAAGGGACATTGGATCCAGTTCCAGCTTTGCCCCCCTCTTAATATTGACCTGGGATACCGGACCCAGTCTCCAGCAGGTGCACCTCCCCACTAATAAATCACAGCTTTCATTGTTTTCTATATTGTTTTTCCAAAATACGAGGAATGAGCCCTCGCGGGGCCCTTATCAGACATACATGTGTTCTGAGCCACGGCCCATAGCAAGCCTGTGCCCGTCCTAAGTGAAGGCGGGCCTGAATATCCATGAGAGCCCTGTTTTCGACATTTTTCCATATGTGGGGGGATTCAGACAGTTGCAGCATGCCAGTTGGTTACACAGCAACGTGAGCCTCCAGGCTCTTTCCAGAAGCAAGGGCTGCACTGTACAGTTGAGCCCAGGGCTCAGGTGGTTGCGCGCTGGGCACACGCTGTGTGAGGCCGACACATCACAGACTGGCCGCGAGCCAATGAGAGAGCAGCAAGTCGAGAGCCAATGGGATTGCTGCGAACACTTGGAATCTGCGTGGCTGCCCAAACGTGCCTAACTGCACGGGGCCCATGCCAGTATCTGAAACTGGGCCTGGGCGCAGACACTTGGGTCCAGAGGCAAGCTAATGGGCGCCCCACACGCCTGGCCAGGCCAGCCAGCCACGGGCACACTTTCCATAAAGGTTCGTGTCTGCCCCAGTGCTGGGGCATTCTGGTCTGTGCAGGAATTGCTGCCACGCTGCTGCATTGCACTGCAAAGCTGCGCTATGCGGGCAGGCTGGGGCGCGCGCAGGAGCTAAGTGGTGAGGGCACTCCAGTGGCAGTGGGCGCACAGCGGCTATAGCCGGGCCGAGCGTGCGGGTGCGCAGAGGTGGTGATGGTGGTCTTCAGGTAGGGGACGCATGAAGAAGAGTGGAGACGAGGTGTTGAGGGGAGGAGAGAGAGCACATACCTGGTGTATGCTGGCGGTCGGCATTGAAGATGATGCAACAACTTGCTGATTCTGACTGCCGAGATTGACTGCGAGGCTGTATACTAACCAGTAGGTTAGATTTGTAATTTTGTTTGGCTGAGGGCTAACCGAGAACCTACCTGTAGGAAAAATTCAGGACGGACATATCCGCAAATATGGGAAAATAGGCCCAGTAGTACTTCGGGTTTCCTACAGCTACCCTAATTGCGGATAGCAGGCCCGGGCTACCCCTAGGACAGACAGGCCCTAAGGGCCTAATCTGATAGACGGTCCTATAGCCTATAGCCGGGTCCGGTAGAGGCCGAGAGGCCGAAATAGAAACGGTACCGGTCGGTCAGGCAGTCCGGTTTAGGTCTAGGATAGAGTACTAGAGTCTATTAATAGTTTGGGGAATTGGGTTGGGACTTTTGGCAGTTCATTTCGGGATACAGCGTTCTGGAGCCAGGAGGATTGGAGCGGCGATTGTCTGCAGGCGGTACCCTGAGACCCTCACCGTGGACAGCGACGATAGCCAGCCGACTGAGGGCTTGCCATAGCTGGGGCATCCCCCGCGCATCAACCCCTGTGGGTTTCTGTGATTGGCTGGGGTTGTGTGGAGACTCCTCATTGAGTCTATGTGGGTGGCGGCAGCCATAGCTGCCGGTTCTTCGTCAGAGTTGTTCAGCGGCACTGAAGACTTCATCGCAGGATCTGTCCTTCATCTGGGTGGTTGGCGCTGGCCTCTGGGAGGCCATTCTGATGTGGCGCTACTAACTCGGTGTAGGGTAGTGAGTGGAGTGTGAGGTTCTGAGAGTGGCGAGACACTGGAACAAACTCTGTAACGATTTCTGGATAATTGGCTCATCATCAGTGTGTATTCCAATTGTTATCCTCGCAGGTTCTTTTTTGTGATTGGTTGTTGGGAGTATCGTCAGAGAGTGAGAGACATTGTGTGTCCTCTCCCCATCTGTGCATGGTTGTGCTTCCGCTATCTACTCTGATCTTTGTGCAGTGTGGACTCTGTCTCCTCTCCCCCTTCTCTTATGCATGTATGGGCGTGTATGAGACTGTCTGTGTGTGAGTGGCGGTAAAAATCGTCAGACAACCAAGTTCATAACAGTTGGTATCGGAGCGAGATTGGAATTGGAGCACTGAGGGTTGCGTGCAACGGGCATCTTCTTCATCTGGCGAGATACTGGTGAGAGCTTCATGGCGATTCATCTTTCCCAGAACTGAGTCAGGAGGGAAGAAGACTTCAAGCGGTGGATTCAGGAGTTCAGTGCTTGCACTGAGCAAGCGCACTGAGCCTGTCAGGGCGCTTGTCAGGAAGTGGCGAGAACAGGGTCAATTCACCATAGCCAACCCTGAGGGTAGTGTAGCGAAGTACCCCTGAGTGGCGAATTACCCCTGAAGACTTCAGGGATCATTGAGCGGCCTCATCCCTGAGCAGCGCTGAGGGAGATTGACAGTCTATGTCAATCTCAGGATGAAATAACCCCATCTGGGGCTATTTATAGCATCAGCGGATCTCAGGTCCTGTGGCGAGATTTTCATCAGTTGGCGAATTGGGTGCCACAGGGTCAGATTCAGGGAATCTGACTAAAGGGAGTGAAGCGCATCAGGGTCCTGTATAAGATCAACAAGTTTGAAGAGATTCTGTGCGTGGAGCAGAGAAGGAGAATTTTTGGAAGAAACTGGCGAGAGGAGGGTTTCAGTCTGCCATAGCCAGATCTTCATCAAACTCTGCAGAGAACTCTGAAAGTGAGTCCATTCCATGCACCTTCCTGTGTGGCGATTCAGATCGGATTAGTTTAGTCAGTAGTTATGGTCTATCTGTTTGTCAGTGACTGGATGTGAAAATCGCAGACTGCATGACAACCATAGCCATCTCTCCCCTATCTTCCTCTGCTCATTTTTCACCCTCTGTTGACTCTTTTCAATCCAAAATAGTTCTGTAACTGCCTTACTGCATTGCGATTAATCCTGGATGCTCAAACTGTGAATTCGGTACTGGAAAGGTAGTAATACTATGAATTGCAGTTCTACGCTGAGTCTATTTATAGCCTGTGCTACCTAGGGTCAGTCATAACTTCAATTCTAACCGTCAGAATCCAGTTTTGTCAGTCCCCAGTAAATCGCAATTCAAAAATAGGCATCCCTGCAGAATCGCTCGATTGGATTTCTAGTATTTCACTGGAAACAGTGACTACTGTACTTCGCCATACCCTAGGGTATGGCCGCCAGAGTCATCGAGGCCGAAAATTGAGTCTGAGCTAGAATATAGGCCTCCTGACTGAATCGCTCTGCTTATTTGATCTTTCTAGTCTGTACTTGCCATGTTTTATCATTCCCACTGACCACTCTTGTTTTCTAGTGGGCTTTGGAATTCTAGTGTTTCTCTAGAAGAGTAGTGGACTTTGGTTAGTAACTCCAGTGTGGTGCAGGGTCAGTAAAAGAAAATCGTGTGATTGATTTTGCTGGACTAATTGTTTGTCTGACCCCTGACCCCAAAGAAACAGTTCCAACCCAAACCGTTTGTTTCCCAATCACCCACTTGACTTTTGTGCCTGAGTTAGCAGCGATTTCTGAGTATCTGAAGGGATCTGTACATCACTGCACACTCTCTGCTGTTTGTTCATTTTGTCTATGTCCTAAAAGAGGAAAATGGCTGACCAAGTTGCTCAGCAGCAGCCACAGGTAGAGGTAGTGATGAAGGTAGAAGGTGAACAGCCTGCTACCTCCACCCCTACTACTCCTCTGAGTGCTACTCAGCAAAGGAAGAAGGAGACCCAGGAAAGATTGCAGCAGGAACAGGCCCTGCTGGATGAAGTGGAGAGACAAAACAGAACATTGCAGCGTGAACGCTGGCCAGGCCCACGCGCTCACGGGCGAGAGACAGTGTGTGAGTGCGATACTCAAAACGAAAGAGACTTTGAATACTGGGAAGGGGTTGTCGCCACGAAAACACGTGTGTACTACGCGTTCATCGATGACACCCTCGCTTTGAGGGTCGTGGCGGGGCTGGGGTACGACGCCCATGATTGCCTTGATGAGGTTGTAATGCACGCAAAAAAACTTTCGGATGTCGTTCCCGACGCCTGCGAACCCCCCGACTTCGATATGATTGGTCATTTGCTAAGGCGCATCGTGTCAGTCGTTGCGGTCGAGCATGTGGAAAGGTTAGCAAGCAATGCATGGTATTTCTCCAAACTCGACCGCCCGCTGCAACGCCGTAGTTTTCTCCACAGAGATGTGCGCAGTGTGTTGCCAAAGGACGGTTGCGAACATCAGTGTGAAAGTGTCAACGAACCATCGTCCCACTCGTCTCATGCGTAGTCCGAAACAGGTGGGTTGAGGAACAAAATCCTAAAGGTTTTCAACATTCGATAGTGTTCGGGACCGCGACTACCCGCTCCTCCCATATATATGTATAAAGGGCGTTCCCCCTCCCCGTACGGTACATGTAGAACATCATGTTTGGGTTATTCTTTGTTCGCTCGTTGGGTTTATAACTTACGGTGTCACTTTCTGCGAATTGCAACAGTTTCCATACGCCATACGAAAGAAGCGACGATGCCTTGCGCGCCAATGATTTTCCGATGTTACCACACCACGAAACTGACAGGCGGCGACACCGTATACTATTACGAATCAATGACTCCCATAACAGATCCTGTCGGCGATGCAGTGGGGTACCGCAATAGAGACAAGATGGTGGATCATCATTTCGTTGTCAGCGTGGAGGAGGACCGAGTCGTCAGTACCTTTATATTCGTGACCACGCCATCGAACACGTTCGTGTGCTAATGTCAAAGCCGACGACATACTTCAGTACCTTTGTTCTCAAACCGGTCGACGGTGATCTGATGTATGATATCGTCTACCCCCTAGTGCATCGCATACTATACACACACTACGGGACGGTCGCTCGGGACGGTGTTTGGCGCCTGGTCGTGTCACCGCCCTATTTTCTGTCCAATGGTGAGGATTTCTCTGCCATGTTCTATCCTTGCTGTGGGATCCGGCGATGAGTACCATTCATTTTTTTTGCTATGTTTCATCGTTGTTGGAGAGAGACTAACTCATGGTTTCAATGATTGTACATTTTGTGTATCTATATGAAAAACTCATCTCCCATGTGTTTTTTGAATGTTTTCCTAGGCTACCAGAGTGGCCCGGGGTCACTTGCCCGGCCGGGCCAAAAACAATTAAAAAATAAAAATAAAAAATAAAAAATAAAAATTTTATTTTTTATTCTAAATTTGGTGCAGAATTTCGATGTGACCCTGGGGCAAAAGTTGTTCAGTTTATTTTTCTGCATAACATAGTTTTTTTTCGGATTTTTTTTTTTTTTTTTTTTT